CGCAAAAGCAGCAATCATTTGACTAAGGCCTGTATAAATAAACTCATAGAGAAAGACAAAGAAAAAGCTAGCGCCAGCTTTGTTGAAGTCGCTTGGAAAGCCAACAATATAGTACCAACACACAAAGTATAGAACCGCACAAATACACAAGTAAAAGAACTCAGATAGAATCAACCCTGTCACAAAAGCTTTCCAGAAATATATCCTAGATTTTTTTTTCTTTTATATTGTAAATACTACATCGTTTAATAAATAAAGGTTAAAGCTGATTGATTACACTAGGGGCGACAAATATAAAATTGAAAATGGTAAATAGACGCATTTGCAAGGATCCAATACTGTCAGCAATCATTCAGAAAAAGAATCTGTTGAATAATGTAGAGATAATATGAAGAATTATCTTGTTGTTGATATATATAGTATTACAATAGAAAAAAAACATTTATACAATGAATGACAATTTTAATTTGCTTTTACATCGAGATTGCAAATTCATTATTGTTAATATACGTTACTGACAGCTTGGAATTTGTATCTTCGAGAATATAATCTAGCTCTTTTGTAGTACAATTATATTCTAGGGATTTAAGCTAGATCTGGTTTCATTCCTAACCAAAAGAGATATTCCCAGACATAACATCAATCATATATTTAGTAAGATTGGCCCTAGAAGGGTAGATAGTACTATAATATCCGAAGTAGCTCTTAATTATATTACTATCTTTTCCAATATCATCATAATAGACTGTTTTTCCTTTTTGATAGAGTGAAAGTAGAGTATCAAATTAAGAGAAAAACTATGTAGATAATTAATAAATAGTAACCAAAATAGTTCAACCAATATTAGCCAATTTTTAGAGGAATCTGACTGTGTTATAGACAGATTGTCTATCTAAACCAGATATTGGTTTATTAAGAAAAATTAAGATACTAGACTTCGAAACCAATTCCACGCTGATAGTCATACATTTTCGTTATTCAACACTAAGATTAGTATCAATAATATTAATCAAAGTATCTACTAGATTATGGAGCATAAAAAGATCGATAATTGTATTAACGTAAACAAGTTTCTTAGTTTTTGGAGTATACTGTGGCTACCGGAGAAGTACAGAAAATTCGAATGCTTCTCGGATAGTAGTATATAGTTTATAAATATCGAACTATTTGCAATAATCAATAGATTGTTGAAAGGCTACAAAAAAAAGCCAACTATCTATTAAGATCGAACTATGGATAATACCGTTAGTCTTATGCTAAGCAAATACATTGAGAAATGTTGTTTTCTCTACCCTAGAGGATCCCGTTAACACACTAAATATATCTGGTTTAACTTATCCTTGATTATTATTTAATTGGATCCGATTATTAGTCGGAGTTTTGAGAATATAAGTCAGATTTTTCCAAGTAAAAACTGAAGTATTCCGCGCTAGTCTACTATTAGTCTAAGGATTCAATTTTCCAGTGCTTCCTCTATTATATTCAATGCCAAGGGACTTTTGGAATTGCTTGGCCTGTACCTCCTTGTTACAACAGGTAACAAAATGCTTTCTTTTTTCATAAGGAATCAGAAGGCATAAGGAATCAGAAGGGAGCAACCATTTTTAGAAGATCCTTGCCAAAGAGTAATAAAAATGATAATGACAACGACAGACAATGTCTACTATGCCCAGAGAATACCAAAATTGCGTCAGATATAAGAAGTCGAATAAATTAAAGAGCTAAGGTAATTGTCACCTATCAGGGAGGTTTGTTCTAGAATAGTACCTCCAACACTGGTGCAAGATTGGTATTTCTAATTTGAATAATTGGGTCTGGATAGGATCAGATTAGAATTAGTACAATTGATATATGAAGCTTTAAATTCATTTGCAAGAAGAGCCTTGAATAAATAGACCATGGGATTGATCCAGAATATCCAGCTAAACCAAGAATATATTTTAGGCTTCTGAATTATATAACTAGTATATAAGAATAGCACACTAAACAAAAATCAAGAAATTTTAGAGACGCTATCAAAAGATCAGAATACGGTGCCGATCGATCGAAACATTACAGTCAAACATATCGTTGAAACGAAAAAACAATGCAGTGGGTAAAGAAAACCGATAATGAGGCTTTTAGGCCAACCATAAAATATAAGACAATTATAAAATAACTAAGTTGAAAGATAATGATTGGTATATCGATAATAATTTGGGCGATATAAAAGATGGTTGGGTAAAGGAAAGCAAAGTGTTTATACTTAATCAAAACAGGACGGCTAGTAAATAAATCGATTATTTCCGATATAGGCATTAAAATGCTATTATATAGCATAGCAAAGAAATAGGCGCTAGATTTAATAAAAAACTCAAGGGAGTCTGGAGATATATTGTAAAACAAAGACCCCGCGACCAGCGCTTGCACCAAAATAGAAATTTGCTTAATAAGAAAGATTGCTTCATCTCCTTGGATAATTTAGTACTATCAAATGATGTATAACTTGATCTGGTGTGATAAACTAGTGGTTAGAGGACTATCCTTTAGGAGGGACTGATATTGGTCTTCTGACATAGCTTATTTGAATAATTCTGTACACTATACAGCGAGAGGAGTGTGTAGATAGTTATACTCCTTGATTGTTTCGGAATAAATGAACAAAGATTCATGGTGCGAATGAATAGCCTTCGTATTCTAAGAAAAGGTTCCCTTATAGTCCAGTCAGATCTCTCATTCTGACAATATAGCTAGTAAGTGAACAAGCCGCATCGCATTATACTAGCTGTAGCTTAGTGCTCATGCAGTCTCTGAACTCTAAGCATCTCGAAAACCGTTTCAACTGTCGAACGCATATGTTGCTTTCTTACGTCGAGGCCAGAAGGGCTATTCTTCAGGTGAAATAACATGAGGCAAACTTTTCGCTTCTTCTTAGGTTTATCATTGATCATAGCGTTTTTATAGATTTAAAGTAACTGATTGATCTCATATCAAATGAGCCAGCCTCTTGTCAGAGTTGTGATTTGTTCCCTCAACAGATTGCATCGAAAACAGATGATCTAGATATTTACGGAAATATTCTTCTTGCTGCACGTGCAACGCAAGCTAAGTCCTTAATTGCGTAGAATATCCCGAAGAACAAGAAGAATTGCATTCAGTTGATGAAACTAGGGCTGGAGAAGAAAGAAGGCGTAGAGGGGAAGACCCGGGAAAGAAAATGATATGGATAGATCACCAGGCGCCACTTCCAAAATCAATCGACCGAACATGTCACCTGCAAATGAACTCAATACAAACAAGATAGTAAAGCCATCGAACCTTCACACCTCGTGGCTGTACATACTTCATCCTTTAAAAGGAGTTGGCTTGATAGTTTCTCATGGCGCTCGATTGAGGTCAAGTGCCCCGTTCCTGAATGGCGTTCCAAGATACCTCTCAAAAATCTTCCAACCGTTGGATGTCATCCGAAGCCGGTCAATGACTGTGCCGATCCACCATACAGCCGGCAGTCCATTCTCCCTGATCTGGTCCTGTTGACTAAACGCAGATGCGTCGTCACCGGGCCAACCATATCGGATGAGGATTTCCTGGTACCGTACAAGCAAACCTCCATCTTCATCACGATCGACGATGTGATTGGTTGCATTGCGGGAGATTCCAGGAATAAAAAAGCCGTAGACTTTCTCGAAAAATTCTTTCATCTCTGCATGGCCACTGATAGTACCATGGCTATGATAAACAACAGCGTTTGGGAGGAAGGTGGCAGACATTTTTGCGTGGTCAAATTCCTCGAAAACGAAATTATGGCGATTAACGAAATCGATAGCGCTTGATCGTTCTTCACCATTCACGTCATTCAGTGTAGAGCCGTTGACAGGAGGGTACCGCCCATTAACAATCAAAGAAGACATTTTGGGTAGGATGAAGCGAAGATAATGAATCGATTTGTAGTTTCGACTTTTGTGATTTGGTGAACAGGGGATCGAAGAGCTTTTGAAGATCAGGAGTGCTTTGAGCGGAAATCTTCCTGGGGTTCGTTGTCTATTTATACCCAAGCGATAGTCCATGATCTCATCAATGGATACGGATACTTTGTAAAATGGTCACCAAAAAAAAAAAAAAAAGAAAAAAAAAGAAAAAGTTTCCACCATATGCTTTAGCAAAATCCGATTGTTGATCATTGACATGAATTTCGGCTACTCCGGCCACTTTCTCGGAACTTCAAGGGATCGAGGTTTTGAAGATCCAACTCATTAATAGGATTTGAGAGTTGACATCAATTGACTAGATAGTACGGGTGAGGTACTAGTTATATGCATGCCCTTGGGCTATACACCTGAAGCCCGTTATGAAAAGCTGGTATAGTGGCATAGCGGGAAGTTTAGGACCAACCCCGGCTTCTACAGCTGTGTAGCATGCAGCATGCAGCATCTTAGATTAGTGATATAGGCGTGTCATGGAACCACTCCCCACTTGGTGATGAGGTAAGCGCATCTCGGATGCCGTTAGCCCGGGAGATACCTTTTGCGGAGTCAACATGGATTGACTGATTGGAACTTCGAGTCACTCCACCCCTCCACTCCATCCCTGGATAGCCTTGGCAGATTAGAACTGGGAATAGATCCCATGGTTCGGGTCAGAAACTAGAGCTGAAGGATTATTAGAACTGCCATGAGTGGATTACCTGATCAGTAAGTCAAGTTGCCTAACCCGAGTGGCAAGGATGTGGGGGGGGGGTTTCATTATTATTATCATTATTGCGCTGCCCTGTTGGTGTAATACGTAATGCGTTATTGCTCACATACATTCGGCGGGCCGCGAAGGGTGGCCCGTGCTTGATGATTATTCAACAAGCGAGATCTAAATCCCTAGGTCAAGACTTATTAGTCGTGTATTGCCTAAGTATGCTTGATCGCTCGGATCTTACTATAAAAATGCTTACCACATTTGCGAGTTAGCCACTTTCCTCATGGATTAGCGACGGAGTTTACTTCGGTTTGCATAAAGATTCCAGGAATTAAATGTACCGCACCATGTCTGAGCCTCTTGTTCTTATTACCGGAGCTACCGGTTTCATTGGCTCCCACGCTGTCCTCTCCGCCCTCGAAGCAGGATATCGGGTACGTCTTGCTGTCCGCAAGTTAGAGCAGAAGCAGGCAGTCGAAGAACGATACTCGAAATTCGCGTCAAAAATTGAAACAGTCGTTGTGCCAGATATCACGAAGTCTTCTTCCTTCGAGGACTCTTTGAACGGAGTCGATCATGTCTTCCATTTAGCGTCTCCAATGCCTGGCAAAGGCTCTGACTTTCAGGCTGACTATGTCAGTCCGGCCGTGGGGGGGACTGAGGCGATTCTTTACGCCGCTCTGAATTTTCCCCAGATCAAAAAGGTTATTGTCATGTCCTCAGTGCTTGCATTGCTGCCTCCCACCGCATCTGCTTCTGCGGATGTGTCAGTCACTGGTAATTTGTTTTCAAAAAGTTGCTGTTTCCGCAAATGGAGATCAAAGGATCGATTATAGAGGACTAAATTTCGAAATATCAGATAACTCCGGAGTCATCATTCCCGTTAAGCACGATATAGTATTCCTAACGGATTTTGTAGGACATGGCATGAAGTATTCCGTCTCCAAGATTCTTGCTCACTAGGCAACTCGAGACTTCCTAAAGCATTTCCAGCCGCACTACACATTGATCACTTTCCACCCGACATTTGTACTGGGCGATAGTCTCATACAAAAGAATGCCACGGAAATTGATGGCATAAACGCTACTTTCTGGTCCTCACTATTCTTGGAAAAACCAGCTCTCCGAAATGCGTGGGTCCACGTTCGTGACGTTGCGATGGCTCATGTCAAAGCACTTAGTGTCTCTATTGAGACTGGCACCGAGTTTCTACTTTCTGCTCCTCCAGTGAACTGGAAAAAGGCTGCTGATTTCATCAAGAGGACCTATCCCGAACTGGGATGCAAACTCCAGCCACCGATTCAAAGTGGATGGGAGGTTGATACTTCGAGTGCTGATCAAGTTTTGGGCATCACTTGGATATCCATGGAAAAAACAATCAAGGACGTTGTGGATCAACAATTGGCATTTAAAGAGAGACAACGCCATGCTCTATAAGAGATCTAGATCGACGGTGGATGTGCCCGTGATTGTGTTGTGAGGGATGTTTGCCACAACCCCCGATTGTAGATAAGATCCTACTTCCATAGTCCTTCTCTCCTCTCCTCTTTCTCTCTCCCCAGAGATCAATAAATCGGTTCTTTCGATCCCTCTGCTCTCTCAACAGGTTATAAGATCCCTCTGACAGAATTCTCATATTCTATACGCTTCTTCTATGCTAGATACTACTTCCTTTTTGAGAAGAAGGAAGTGGTTGACCCCGGTCAACCCATTCTACCTTATCCTCACTTCCACTTGATTTTACTTCACTTTTAGCAAAACCTTCCCCTCCCCTACTACCATAGCTTCTACAGCGCTGCCTGGTAATATGCTTACTACTGCTGCTGGACATGCAGTATCTGGAGAATGAAAGAACTTCGACGACGAGCAAATTAGAGTTGACGCTACCAAAAACCAAAGCGACAACCTATTTAAATCCAATTTATATATCTTTTATAAACTTCGAACTCAACTTTCCAACAAAGATAGTTTTAAGGAATAGCATCGCTTCGTCATAGGTATTCTTAAATCCCTAAATCTACATAATTTAATCGAATCGAAGATTCCAAGATCCGTACTTAATACGCTATAGACTTAGAGATAATATATTTTATCAAAGGTTATACAAATGTAGTTAACAACTAATATAGACCTCAATATTGTCATCAATATCTAAATCCATAGAAGAATAACTAAATTCACAGATAAATTTATAAAGCTTTTGTGTATCGATTTATATAGTACCGACTCTACTCGAATAAATAAAATACTTATAATCTTCTATAATTTTAGATATATCTTTTATTCTAATACGAAAGTCTTTATATAAAATATATAGTATTAGAATTCTCAAACAACTAATATTAGTTTCAAAATAAATCTTTATTATTTAATAGTATTCGTTTTATATAAATTAAGAACACAATTATATTTAAAAAACTTTCTAAATATCAAACTATTACAATTCTACAAAAAAAACTACAATACAATATATATGTATACTATAAATAACTTCTTCACCGACTATATAAATATCCTCGATCAAATTATTTCTATAGAAAAACAAACTAGTTTTGTAAATACAACAATAGCAAAGAAAGCCTCCACTCCAAACAAATAAAATATTATAAATCCTATAACTACTACTTTAAATCAATCTAACCAATATTTAAATAAACCACTTAAGAAAATCAAATAAAAAGATTAAATAAAAAAGTAACTAAAAATATTAGCTACTAAAAGACTATACTCCCACTACTCCCAAGCTTATCATTTAACAAAAACATACTACTATTTAATATCTAACAGACATCCGCAAAAATAGATTTCTAATTTCAGTATATAGATCTATAAACCTTACCTCACAAAAACAAATTTAACCTTTAATAACAAAAATATATCTAGAAATTAACTTTATACAATAAATAAAGATTCCTAAAATTATAGATTCTCTATCAAATATATTAAACAACAAAATACTTCTATTACTATCAATATAATTAACAGTACTTCGTTAATATTCAACTTTAATAAATTTAATAGATTTGCTATAGTATTTAATAATTTAGCTACAAATACTATATCTACCTATAATATAAAGTCTCTACAACTCAAAAAAAAATAAATACTCAATTCAAATACTTCTTTTATTATTTATTCTGATCAAACACTATTTATTACCTTCACCTTTGAAAAAAGTATTAGATAAAATACAAACAACGATTAAATAATTTATTCAAAAGGTTCAAACTAAGTTTGTGTCACTTTGTAGAAACCTAATAGTAATCAATATAATCTTTACATTAATACTCTTTATAAACTTAATAATTAATTTAATCTACTTAATATAATAATACTAAATCAATCCTATAAAATCATATAAAACTAAAACAATTTGATACTAAAATATATAAATAATATATTAATTAGATACATATTCATCATTAAAAAGATTCCTTTCGTTGAACTTATTACTAAACCAAAGCTAATACAATATACCGCTTTTAAGATATACAATCTACAACTATAAAGAATAACAACATAGACTATAGAAATAACAAGTATTAGCAGTAGGCTAGCTCATCAATATCTAAATTACACTAAACAACACAAAATAAAGGTTAATAAAAATCTTCTGAAGATTAATATTATTAACTCTAGACCCTTTAACTACGAAGCATATAACCTAGCTAAATTAAAACAAATTATATTAAGAGCTAGACAAATACATACAATAAAAATAAGATAGCTTATATATATTAATCTCTATCTAATCAAACCAAAAGACAAGAATCCTAAAAATATAAAGTACAATCGTAAGTATTTAATATTAATTATAAATAATTACTTCTATATATAATTTGTTATCTTTCTTAGTAAAAAGTCTAATACTTTAGAAGAATTATAAAAATAATATAAGATATTCTACGAATATACAGATTATTAATCTACAAAAATCCAATTTAACAATAGAAGTAAATTTAATATATTTAATATATAGACTAAAAGTAAATATATTTTATACAATTCTTTTACTCCTTATATATATAAACAAAACAGTATAGTAAAATTCTTTAATTATTATATTATTCAAATCACTAGAATAATAATAATTAATATAGACTATCAAATACCTAATTATATATAATCAAAAGCATACAAAACAATGATATATATTATCAACCAACAAAAGAAGATTAATAAAAAAGCTTCTATTATTCTATAGTAAACAGCTTTAGGATTACAAATATTTAAGGTTAATTTATTATTTCTATATATATAGTATTTGAAAATATATATATATATTCTTAAAGAAAGATAAATTTAGAATCAAAAGATAGCTTTATATACATTTATAAGCTTCTTAGTTAGATATTTAAACAATAAAGATTATTAATACAAAATCTACAATCCGAAAACCAAAAAAGTTAGCATTTATTACAATATACAATTTATAAAGTATTTATTAGATTCTATCAATAGTTATACTAACTTTATTATAGAGAAAGAGATTAAAAAGCTTAGGAAAATAACTTACTATAATATACTAATATTCTCTATAAGTATTAGAGCTCAGCAGCAAACTACTAGATTAGTTGAACTTCTACAGCAACTAAAATTAACTAGAACGATCTATTTAAATACTAAAATATTACAAAACAACAATAAACTTTAATAGAAAGATTCTATTAACTATCTATTAATACCTACTCCTAATCCGACTTCTATTTTTAATTCTATATCTGATTCTTTTACCCCTCTATACTAATTATAATATATAACTACTAGTATTTGCTAATCTATTTGCTATAACGAAGAAGAATATAACCTATACAAAAAACTACAGAACTAAAGCGTAATAGAAGAATTATAATATATTAAGAATAATATCTAGTTTATAAATAAAGATTTTAGATATTATATTTTCTTTAAAGATAGATTTGGACTCTCTTCGTTTAAGTATAAACCTTTAAAAGACGTTTTAGAATCTAATAATAAGATTAAAGTTTGGAAAATTAAAATTCTATAGAATTATATTAAAATAGTAAATTCAACAAAGACTATAATATAAAAAGAAGCGATATATAAATAGATAGTTAACCTACAGCAAGCTAAGACCTATAAGCTCATCAATAAAATTAAAATCAAAGTATATATTTTACTCGGTAAATAGATTTATATAATTAAAATAGATTCTAAGAACTACATTATATAATTCAAAGCTTACTAGATAGTTTGTGGCAACCAACAATAACTAAAGATTGATTTTGATTCTGCTTACTCTTTAGTAGCGAGATTAAAGTTAATATGTATTTTCTTATATATAGTAGTTATATAGAAATTGATTGTTAATTAAATCGACTATACTACTACCTATCTTAATATAATAATTAACGATTGTTCTATATTTATACAATAATTAACTAAGTTTGAATAATTAGATAAAGTTGATAAAAAGTTAGTCTATTAGTTACTACAAACGCTTTACAAACTATATCAGATATTATATTTATAATACAATATAATTATTATTATCTTTAAAACTCTAGAATTTAAATAATTTCCGAATGAATTCTGTATTCTTTTCTACTACGAATGTAGAATCTAGTTACTATTATACATCGACAATATTTTAATTACTATATAGGATTTAGTTTAGATCTAATAGTTTAAAAATTCAATTCTATTCGTTTATAAAAATATAGATATCCTAACTTACTTTCTAAGAAATATATTTATTTGTAATGAAAAAGAGTTCTTCTTATATTAAAAATCCTACATAGAAAAAGCTTTCTAAACTCTAAGAGCTAAAATCTTATCTATATCTATTCTAATAAAAATAATATACAAGCTTTCCTTCTAAATATATATAAAGAAAGATATAGATATATGTTCAGATCTTTTTAAAGATATATTAACCGTTAATATATCGTTTATAAAAGTCTATTTAGAGGATATAAATAAAATATTCTGAATATACAACTAAAGTTGACTAAATATTATTTTAGCAGTTAATTAACTACAAAGAAGAACAGCAGTTCTATACAAAGAAGATATTAATATAATAAAGTATTTGTATTACTTTATAGTAAGAACTATTTAAAATAGTATCTAGTTAAGCAAAGATCCTAGAAAAGAACTTATTATATATATTGATATATCGTATACTAACTATGAAGATAGAAAATTAACTAAAACGTATATTATCATATATGCAAGTTCTCTAATATCGTAGAGGTCAGACAAACAATCGATCGTTTACTCTTCTTTTACTAATGCAGAATTCATCGCATTTAATGCTGTAATATAAGAAGTAATGTGGATCTAGAAGTTACTACAGCAAATAAACCTTTCGATAGAACTTTCTATAATCGTACATACTAACAACGATAATATATATGAAATTCTCATAAAGGATGCCTACATACGGTCTACTAAGTAGATCGATTTATACTATAGCTTCGTTAGGAATACAGTAAGAAGAAGCATCGTAAGCTTCAACATCATAGAAAGCAGCCAAAATCTCGCAGATGCACTGACTAAACCGCTTGGTTAGCCCCAATTCAGCACTTTTACCGATCAGCTGGTCGGCAAATGGGGGTAGTTGGGAGCACTATGCACCAATGGAGTCCTAGAACCCAGGAGGAAGGGGGGGAATGAGCCTCGGAGACCTGGGGGATGGGTGAATTCACCAAAATTTTACAACGGGAATGAACCACTAAATACTAAAAACACCAAAAACGGGGTATTTGAGAATCAGAGGTTGATTTGGGGATGCTTTTTGGGGGTGCCTTTTGGGTTGCGTCTCAGGGGGTGTGTTGTGAGGGATGTTTGCCACAACCCCCGATTGTAGATAAGATCCTACTTCCATAGTCCTTCTCTCCTCTCCTCTTTCTCTCTCCCCAGAGATCAATAAATCGGTTCTTTCGATCCCTCTGCTCTCTCAACAGATTGTAGCAAGGGAAGAATATAGAGGGCTGCGACTCTGTGATTCGTGATAACTACGTCTGAACGAAACAGCCGGGCTTAGAATTTGACTTATCATTCGCCTTTGTACCTTATTCGGTCGTTTCGTTAACGAATCGGGCCCATCGAACCCCGCCCGGTTCTTTGTCACAAATAGCCTGGGACCCCCGGGCCCGTGATGGTTTTGACAAGAATTAGTTAGCCTTGCACAGATTAAAGCAATACACTCCATCCTCACTCACTCCTCATAAAGCTATTGTTTCTTACCTGGTTGACAGGCTCTATCCTGTAAACACTAGAACCCCTATTTTTTACATCGATATCAACATAGTATTGTTATGACAGCTCATGCTATTAACACCGCCCTGGTGATCAAGTATTTTCTGGGCGAGGATCATTGAATGGATGTCTCAGTACAACTGCCAAGCCATCAAGTAATTTGATAGAGAAATGGTGATGCGAGAGCCCTTTACTGAACAGACATCTCTTCGGCCATTAGATTGCACAATTTCCTCCACGCTTTTAGTTCTATGCGATGTAATCCTTGGTTGTAAGAGAATATCTATTCCTCAAACGGTGTAGAAAGCATATACAACGTGCCTTGAGTGGCTGTGTGCAGATGCCAAGAGAACAATTGTTTCAGGAGGTAGCAACATGTCCAATCATATCAATTTTAGCTCAGTTGGAAGGGTCAGTGCGGCAGTCGCGCGACTTGGGTGAAAATCACCCAGCTTTTCACCCTGTCTATAGCGCACTCACCCTTGTCGCCCCCGGTCGCGCGACCATAAAGCGGCACTCACCCATTTCTCACCCAGGCGACACCCACCCGACTAATGACTGCACATAAGCCACACGCCGGTGAGTTAGTAGTTGGGTGGGTGACCACCAGCGAATCCTCACTGTTGTATGTTTTTGGTTTTTTGTTTTTGTATTATGTTGTACTTTAATTGTAAAAATCGCGATGGTTGCAAGGGGTTACAACCTTTCCCAAACAGGTTCCGTCTAGTCGCCTATGTACAGGGTACCTATATCTGTGCCGATGCCCCCCAATAACTCGGTGCCACGTTTAGGTACCATCTGACCAGGCCGTTGTCCCTGTTTAACTCCTTCCCTTCCCCCGCTTGGGGGCAAAAAAATTATTCCGTCTAAAGTTGCCACGCAGAATATCCTTTCTGCGATACATCTTCAGAAATATGTACTCCCTATCTGCTGAGTCGGACGTCGTTGCTTGGCACTGAGCAAAAAGGAGTGAAAGACCGTCCCGACACAATGTTGCGACGCTTGTCATGTTTCTCCACGAGACAGGAGACCCGAAATAGACGGTCCATTGAGGCAGCACTCGATAAAAGCAGCGTGTCAACCCCATGGTCCACAGGAGAATCTATGGAGGTTTATTTTTCGATTGGAGAGTTTCGATATGTCGCGACTGGGTATAATCCGGTAGACATTTCCTTTTTCCTTCGTCGCATGCCCCACGGAAGTTGACAGATGATCATTGCAGTTTGAATTGGCCGAAGCTTTCACGGGGGGTGCAGGGCCACTGCTAGTGACCGTAGTGGAAGCCGATGATGGTATACCCCTCAGCTCAACCTGGTTGGACGGTTACCTTGAACGACTATATGGCAGTGATTTCCAGCCGAAAGAATCATTCCTGACAGGCTTGGTTGTTACTCGAGTTACGGCAACGCATACCATCTATAAATGTTACCCAACTGCCGACAACATCTGAATTCACTCGGCAACCGCTGGAATCAGATGGAAAAAGAAAATGCTGATCCTCCGAGCTTACAGCCAGGTCCATACATATACAGCGAAAAGGCAATGAAAAATGTTTATCGGCTGCACGATGATACATATGGAACTTTCCTCGCTGCCGTCAAACCGAATTATGCCATGAAACACAAATTCGATCCTGGTCGTGGGCTGACTTCGAGCAGAACCAGAGCTTCCTCTACGACATATGAGCAACTCAAAGCCGGGGGGACGTTTTACGGCTTTCTTGGCGTGGCAGTTCCTCCAAGACCAGCATCGACACGGGACAATTATCCCCTTTCACACCTCCGCGTTGCAGTCAAGGACTGCTACTTTATAGAAGGACTGAAGAATTCCTTGTCTAACAAATCTTACTACGACTTCAGCGACCCCGCTCCGTTCACAGCAGAGGCAGTGCAGCTGTTGATAAAACAGGGGGCCGTTGTCCTGGGCCTAACAAAACTAAGCTCGATGATCGGCCGCGAGGAGCCCCTGGAGGCCGTTGACTTCCACACTCCATTCAATCCACGTGGAGACGGATATCAGTCCCCGGCCGGTAGCAGCAATGGAAGTGCCGCATGTGTCTCAGGCTATGACTGGATTGATTGCGCCATAGGCACAGATACCAGTGGCAGTGGAAGGCGTCTAGCGCTGGCAAATGGAGTGTGGCAGTTCCGACCTTCTCATGAATTGATGTCTCTTAGCGGTCTCATTCAGACATACTCCCGCTTTGACACACCCGTCGCATTTGCCAGGAGTTTCTCCACACTCAAAGCTGTTGCTCAGACTTGGGTTCCAAAAACCATCGACCAAATTCCGATATCGAAGAAATACGATTTAATCTGTTTCACCGAGTATCTTCCAGTGGAAAACACAAAGCAGATGCTACTTATAGACAGTTTCATCGAAGACATGAGAGTTGCACTACAAGCGAAGATAACAAGATTCTCGATACGAGAAGCTTGGAAGCAATCTCACCCCCCTGGAACCCCAGAAGATCTCGATGACTACCTGATCGACACCGTGGCAAGAGCTTACTACTATGCGTACTACCATTCGTTTACCGCATTTCGTAAAAATTACACCGAGAGACATGATGAAAAGCCGCCATGTGTACTACCTTCCCTACATTACTGATGGGAAATAGGTGCAGCTGTGTCCGAAGAACAGCACAAGGACGCCGTACAGCGGATGGACATCTACAAGGCATGGTTGCTCACCGCAATGCGTGCCGAATCTACCAGCGAAGCTGAACCGCTGGTTGTTCTTCCAATCGGAAATGTCGCTCCGAATTATAGAGATGAGTCGTCGCCATCGCCTCGTTGGCAGTCTGCGCTAGATCAGCTTTTTCTTCCACCAATTTTGGGCACTCCCGATATTGCCATACCCATTGGTGAGGTGCCGTATGAGTCGAAGATCACCAAGAGAACCGAATACCTACCAGTTGTAATTGACGTCATGGGCGCTGCAAAAAAAGACCTCGAGCTCCTGCAAGCTATCGAAAAAGTCATGAACGTATCAGGGCGTCCCACTACTGTTACGACAGGATCGAGACTCTTCCAGTGTCGACAATGAACAATTGATTTGAGTAGAAATTGTGACTGAGAATAGAAAAGAAAGTCAGAACCCGGTGTTTGATAGAGCCAAAGCTGAACATTGTAAGCGTAGTGGAGAGGCTGTGGTAGCGCTTCTATTTGACTAACGAGACGATTCTATGTGGCTAGGATAAATTCTCTTTACGATATACTCACGATAATCGGCAACTCGTTTCTGCTATTACAAGGAAAATAAACAAAATTGTAGCCTCTGATGTGCTTGAGGCAAGATCATCTCTTGCATCGAGATTAGCAAGATCAATAATTGCTAGTAACATATCAAGCGCCCTTGAACATGACCATACCTGCTAGATTCATGCTCTGAACCATTGCCAACATCGCCAGTCCCGATATCACAGCCTCATCCTTCAGTGGTTGATCAAGGTCACTATCCAACTCGAATTTCCCAACACGCTCATTTGAAAAAGCCCGGTTACGAAACCGCACGAGGGCCCTCCGATCTACCTCGCCCGTCGCATCGACAACCAACCTAAAATCCCCCAGGGTATTGTCCGTGTCATCAGCCTCCCAGCAGAGTGTCCTCTGTGTTGTATCAATCGCTGCTGCAGTGAGAGCGGGAGAGGAGAACGAGTAACTCGTAGAGAGTATACCCTTCCTCTTCAGCTCAATATCGTGGTGGTCGCGAATTCGTAGTTTCACATTCAAACTGGACATTTTGAACTGCGCTGTCGAGACACGGGACGCGAGATACGCCTCTTCGTCGGCCGGAAAGCTGGAATCTTCTTGACTGGACGCTGGGCTTAAGCGGATCATCTCCATCTGCGGGCTTTGACGGGTGACTTTGACATGGTAAAGTGGTGATCCTGTAGTATTGTCTATGAGGGAGAGGCGCCCCTCGGGGGTGTAGTTGATGTTGATGGTTTGAGGGGCCATGTTAGACACTATTCGAACCTTAGAAGTTAACTAAGCTCTAAATGTTTCTCAGAAGAGACTGGAAGATAGTACTTAAGTATACACCATAGGTTCGGCCCCCAACTTCCAAAATGTTACCCCGCCTTCTGACCCCTGCTTGACGTAGATAGTACCAAGAGCAAAACGACCCCTAGGTATAGTACGCTGACATCTGTCACTTTTTGATCCATCCAGCATTGTCATAGTGTATCTTATCTCAATTTCGGTGACAGTATGGTACCATACAAGAAATTATATCATCGAGAAGTTATATATTTGTCTTACTCGGGCTTGGCACTCTACGAAATTGAAGTTCAGAGCTTCCAAACTGTCAGGCTGATTTAGCCGTTTACTGTAGACTGACCTTCATGAGTTGGAGGTATAAGGAACCGTCAGAGAAGGAATCTGCAACGGTATTCTTTAGGCCATTGGCACTAAAACAGTTGAAGAATATTGCGGGAAATAAGTTTATATTTTCCATTTGCCCAATGACTAACTGATATATCTTACACCACACCACTTCCACTCCTTGCTTTCATTAAAAAAACATCGTCGCAATAATCCGAACAAACACCCTCTAATGAGTTAATCAATCGACAAATTCAAAAGCAGCCGATATCGTATCGTCAATATCGGTATACTATCGGCAATATCGTCAACAGCCCTATATCTGCCAAATGTAGTCAACAAATCGAGTGTCTTTAGAACTAATGCCTAAATGCTATGAGCTCGTTGCAAGCCCTGTTGAATATACTCAGAAATAGTTCAATAATTTAACATATCATGGTTGCGGATCCATCTGCTCCGTATGACAAGAGGAATTGAGTCCCTGGATTCAACCCTTGAAAGTGCATGTATGCAATGCATCGTCGGGATCTTCCAATTTTGAATGCTCACATCCCTACTCCGTATAGATATACCGTATGCAGAGAGGTAAATTACGAGAACTAGACGGCTGGCGCTGCCTATTGTGTTGGGCCCCTTTGTTTTCCCCTCGCTTCCCTCTTGAATATAAAGAAGATGGTCACATAAATCACAGCAGCTACCGAGCAAAGACCAAGATATAGCTTGGCACCAATTCGCCAATGAGGTGCCTCTGAAGCTGGGTAAGCGGCAATTGGCAGGAATGCGCTGAAGAGGTATGAAAACAAAGTCCCGGTCGCAAAGAGGACTGTGCGAACCTGAGGCTCATTTTCGAGGTGTGAAGATGCCCAAGCACAAAGAAGCATAGTCGATACGCTATTGCAGTTAGATGAAATGCTGAAATGACCAAGCTCGGGGGTAGTTTATAATACTCACGCGCCTACATAATTCAAGTACCATCCAGCCATATAAGCAGGCTCATCTCCCGGTCGAATGATCAGAATGATGAGTGAGGTGATACTGATGACCTGGGGTTTGAATTAGTATTAAACGCCCCCTGGTGGCGGCCACTTACTGATTGAAGAAGCAGGAATGGCAATCGAGTTCCAAGATAGTCACTGAATCCACTGAACAAAAGCTCTGCAACTAGCTGTAATGCCTGGCCTGCGATGGGTAAATAGTTCAGCATGGCGACTGAGCTAAATTATGCAAAGTCAGATAAAGCGTCCAGGTACCATACTGCACATAGTCACTTACTATCTCTTGGTTCCATCTGGATTTTTCAGTGACTTTAACCAAAGGTTGAAATAACTAGAAGGCGTGATTCCAGATCCAATAGCCCAGGCAACTAGTAGATGAAGTTAGTGACCCAGAATGAATATTTCTGGATTGACTCACTTGAGAACAACCAAATATGCCAGAACTTGAAGCAGCGGAAAAAAGTCTTGACTTGTATGCCCACCTGGGCATCACGTCCTATCCTGCGAGTTCTCGCCTCGGCCACCTCTGCAAGTGATGATTAGCAAGCTCTCTTCACGAATATTTCTTTGATGGTCATGATTGTACATACCAATGTCTCGGGGTCTCAGATAAAACTTGGCCAGTGGGTTTGGACGGTCCGGCTAGTTTTGTTCGTCAGCCTATGCTCAAACGTCCCCAAAGGTCGCAGAGATCGATTCTTACAAATCCTGGTAAGAGAACAAACGCAAGGAGGGCAATAAAAATAGTGCAAACACCCTGTAATGTTAGAAACAATTTCGAACGTCGGGCACCATCCAAAAGTACTTACATTAATAATGAATGCCCATCGCCAGCCAGTCCGACCAAGTGCGCCGTCCAGATTTGTGGAAAGTGCACCCTGCATGGCACCTGACAGCATTGCTCCGACAGGCTGTGCTATATTGTAAAGACTCATCCTCAAAGCCATTTCGTGTGGTAGATACCACTGACTATATCAAGATCAACAAGAAGGCGTTGCACATGAAATGGAATACCCACCTGATCATTGTGAAGTATCCAGGCCAAGTTGCACCTTCAAAAAACCCGATGAGAAATCGAAGACCATATACCTGAGAAAAAGTTGTCACTTCCAAGTTTCCCAAGTCTATTGAGGGAGCCAGTGGTGTTTACCTGCTTTTCATTGGAGACTGTGGATAGGCAGCATGTCAATACCCCCCAGATGACCTTGTAAGATTGTTAGTCCCCTTGAAAAGATGAGCATCAGTTTGGTACTTACTTCGCATGTGGGTAGCCATATTGATGGCCCGACGTGAGATACAATGATACATGAGGGATATAACATGATCATGTAGCCAATACTATCAAGGTCAATATCACAATTTTGCGCAACAGAAGCATTGAGCACGCACTTGAAGAAAGTGGTAAAATAATTGAGCTCATTTCCATAGAGCTTGAGGTCTGTTTCCATCCCAGAAACATACGCATTACTCTGGTAGAAGATTAGAGCAGAACGTATCTTTGGTTGGTGATAGCCGTACGATGTTGGTCTGATCGAGGTACTTGAATGCATATCCAAAGAACCCGATCGTCAAGAAGAAGATATCCAAACGCCAGACCTAAACAAAGTATTAGCGATGAAATTGGATGCTCGCGTTGAATTCATGGGCCTACCAGGGCTCTTTCTTCCTTGGGGTCAATTTCAACAACGGGGGAAACCGTGCTGGTAGCATCTTTGACGCTAGAATGCACTGAAGACTTCATGTCGCTGTTACTTCATTGATCAACCGTGAAATTAAATTTATGCGAAGTTTTTGTTTTCAAGTGTGACACGAGGAACAGAAATTATTATTTCCGTGGAGTCAGCCTTGGAGGATACGTATACGAGCGTTATTTTATAGTATAACACAAAACTTCCAGGTGCAAAACGTCACTAAACACATTCTATAACTAGCTCTCTTTTTAATCTAATTAATCTAATAGACATAATCTTGTACAGTTATATGGGGCCGAAATGGCATCATTGGAACCAACCAAGACTCATCCGGTGCTTATCTAGAATTGATCCAAACCCCTATGGACTCTTATGCGCAAGTTTTTCACATCGATGGATTTTCTAAAAGCTTTCCAAAGTTGATTCAAAGCACATACGGATGACACCATTATAGCCACGATGGCGATAATGTTGACTAGCGCTATTATCTCGAAATAGCAATTTGTCATTTCGATTGTGTCACATACATCTGCAAGCAACTAAGAGTTGAAGTCCCCTCAAGCCCTGGAGGCTGTTTGCAAATTTTCTCTAGGCTCTTTTTATGTTTAGAATTAGAGTATGGGGTTTCTGGGGTTGTTTCCCATTGTAGTTTTCAAGTGCTTGTTTCGAGAAAAGCTATGTTGTAGTATTGGGGCTAGCTCAAGCCCAAACCTTGGCAATTCAAAAGAAGGCCCAGGGATATGAGATTTTTCCTCTTAATTTGACAGCCAGACCCACTCGGTAGTACGAAGCTTGGTCTGCTCCTTCTGAGATCATATTTAAAAAGGGCTTCCTTTATGTGTACTCAGCGCTAAACCATATTAGGCCATCACATTATTTCTAGATGTATGGTCCTTTATCTTCGTGTAAGTTTAGACCGACTCAATGTTCTTTATTAACATCTATTCCATTGTCTGCAATCCTTTATTAACATCTATTTCATTGTCTGCAATCCTTCATTGTGGCCTCAGTAACGACTATAAAAGGGTCGAGTCCTCACTTTAACTCAACACCCCATCACACAAACAACCTCCCCCATTAAAACAGCCTTCTGGATACCCTTTCAATCACAAACCACTAAAAGCACATCTTTCCACAGAAATAACCAATAGTAATCTGAATACCACAATCATGTCGAGTCGACACTCTTCTTCCCAGGGAAATCGTGGGCCCTACACCCCCCAAGCGATGGTTCCTTATACAGCTGACAGCTATGAGCTCTTCCTTCAAGTTTGCCCGGGAGTCACGGCTCAAGACCCCAAAGAATGGCGTCTCTTCTTGAAATTTGAAGATTCTGATCGCGGCACACTGATGGAGGTCAAAGGTAAGCCTTATGATCGCGAGATGTATCCCGTTCATGAGGCATTTTTCGAGGCCCCGGATGTGATCCAGTCCATTCATCTGGGCACAATCAGCAGCCGCCAGGGGGCCATTGATGTCTTATCCGAGGCTGGAAATGTTATGCCACAGCACCCTCAGATCTGGTGCTGCTACGTGATGCTTCGACTTGAGCGTATCGGGATGGTCAGAGATGGGACATATGCCCATTTCAAGAGGTCCTCTGAAGTTGAGCCTGGGTACGAAGATAACGGACGACACCATGCTAACCATCAACTTAGGGCTCCTTCTCATGACGACTTTGGCCCGGGCTATTGATTAGGGGACGCTTCTCGTCGGCGTTGTTCTTCTATCACGGGTTTTTGTCTTACAATTCGTCAGGTCGCTCCTAGTGTTCCTCTTGACTTCAGTCTCTTTTCGCCTGGTCTACTTAGAATATTTAAGTATGTCTTCAAAGTAAAATTTTCAAAAAAGATGCCTGAGTTTTTCTTTTCTATCTCCGTATACTTCAATTGATCGTAACCGTAATCGCAGTTGCAACCTATCACCCCGAATAGTCCGGATTGTGAGGGTGGTTGGGGACTGGCGAGGTTTCTTGGGTTGCTAGAGAGCAAGTGAGATGCGAGTCTCTCGGTTAATGTAAGCATATTTTAAACCCGAGCATGAGCCCATTCGAAATGGAACCTTCAAATTTTACTTAAGACTCTATACTCCGTCCTTGAGGGCTGAATTGGTCACGGGCCGAGCCAAAGGCCGAGCTGACCAACTCGGCTTATCGGCCTTATCGGCTTATCGATCGGTCTTGGCAGCTTATCAATTTCGTCATTGTAGCTGTCGATGTAACCCCATATAAAGAGACCTCTGGACGTCGACATTGATCTTCACAAACCCACACCCATCTCTTCTCAAAATGTCCAACAACGTCGCCTTCACTGCCCCAATCAACCCACCGGGCTCAACCACAATTACCCCAGAGCAAGTCTGGAATGGCCTTCTCCTCAAGATCCGCTCCGCAGAGACCTTCGTCCCAGCCGCAATCCAGTCCACCAAGGTCATCAGCGAGTCTGTTGACCCCTCCACTGGGAACCCAGTCACTGTGCGCGAAGTGTTATTCCGTGAATCACAAAAATCCGTCCAAGAGACCGTTACGGCGTTCAAGGCTACAAGGGTGGAATTCGAGCAACCGGATGGTAGCAAGGTTAGCAATGTGCTCAGTGTGGGAGCTGGGGGTGAATTGTATATGACATACATCTTCGAATGGAGACACCCTGGCGCGTCGAAGGAGGAGTTGGCGGTTTTGTATGAGAAGGAGAAGAAGATGAGTCAAATGGCGGTGGAGGGGACGATCAAGGCTTTGAGGGAATTGGTTGAAGAGAAGAAGCTTTCAAGCTGGGCCAGCTGTGTGAATAAACCTTTATAGTAATTACTTATGTCGGTCTTCACTTTTTCTCCTGGATTGACGCTGGTCATATTCAAGATTCGCCCTAAGCTAGAAACCCACGAAACTTGAAACACTCAGACTCAGAAAGGATCACAATTCATTAAACATAAGATATATTCCCTCATTCTCAAGCCGGAGGAACCCGCACCTTACCCTCAGACACACTAACAGCAGTTCCTGTAAGCACAACCTCCTCGACCTTCTTCCCCGCATCCAGCGTAACGTCTACCCCAATATCACTCCGCCGACCCATCTCAACACCCTGCACAACATGATACTCAACCTTCTGGCCCGCCTGGCCCTCAGTAAGCGCCAAATAAGCCGCCAACCCACTAGCCGAGCTTCCAGTCGCCGGATCCTCCAAAGTACCCAGCATCATGCGTGATCGAATGACCTTCTTCCCCAGGACCTCGTCCTGAACATCTCTCACAAAGAAATAAACACACACCAGCCCAGCTCTCCAACCCTCATCCAGATGCTGCGTCTCAGCAGCAGAAATCAGCTCACCGCCAGTAGCAGGCGTCACAGCCGCCAAGGCCTCCAACGTCTCCAACTCAATAAACAACTGACTCATACCATTCACAATCGAAAACAAGGGGAATGTAGTCCCCTCCCTCAAAAACGGCTTCAGGGTCGGATGCAGCCGCAGGAGCTCTGACAATTCGAATCGCGCGGCGTGAATACGCGTATTGTGCGCGATCTGCGCAGCAACATAGTTTGTTTCCTTATTTTGAACGGAAATAGGAATATCCCCCGATTTGGTAGCGAGAGTGGTCACACCCTTTTCTGGTGAGTGTGTTAGGAACCACGACGCGGCGCCGATGGTGGGGTGGCCTGCGAAGGGGATTTCGCAGTCTGTTGTGAAGATGTCGATTGTGCGCTTGGTTGGCGATTGTGCGGGGTGCACGAAGATGGTCTCTGAGAGATTGAATTCTCGGGCAATGGTTTGCTTTTGGGATTGGGTTATGGCTTGGATGTCTAGGAAGACTACCGCTAGGGGGTTGCCGGAATAAGGGGTTGATGTGAAGACATCGAGGGTGACGAAGCTGAGGGACATTTTGAGTCAATTCAGATCAATTGAGTCAGTGGGTTTGGTTTTCAATGGTGTAGTGAAGTCAATGAAGTCAAGCGGATATCATCGGGGTTTTATACTTCACTTCACGGCTTGACAGCTCCACTTTGACTCACGCCCTTTGACGACAACCATCGGCTCGGCAAAATTGTGGGCTTTCTACTCTTGAATGCTAACACAAAATCTGTCCTCTTTTTACGCTCAATGTCCTGAATCTTTCTACTGAAGCTCTGCTAAACCCCAGATACTGTAGACCATCGCGGCATCAGTCCTCATTCTCCACAAAGCAAACTCATCATATGCTCGGCGCACAAGATTCTACCGCACCGACTATCCCGGGCCGGTCAATGGAGTAGATCGTCGAACCACATGTTCCACAAAAAGTCCGTAGTACACATTCATTTGACGACATTATCAAGTCCCCAAATGACCGCGATTGGCAACATGACGAGTCATGATCCGAAACAAACATCCAGGTTATCGCATTGGACAGATATCTATGACAGACTCCCATTCACTGGTATCCTGGGGTAATTTCCACTGGATTTTGGGACTGTCGGTCAATTCACGGGAACGGGGAATAGAGAATGAAACACCTCTACAGTAACATTAATGCCTAGGTGGTGAAGTGGATGCAATTACAGTGACAATTTGCACCAACTTTGCGGAGTACTCAATGTCATTTTGGGTAGACAAATTGAAAGGGAAAAAAGTATGGGAAGTTCCTATTTCAACTCTTTAGCTCAATGTTCTGGGACTGTACAATTCCCATAAATGCAACGCCTCATCAAGTCATAAACATATCAACCTTCTCACTCCGAGTCACTGTCAATTACAAATCCACCACGCATACGTCTCCGAGTCGAAGCCACAGGTGCATCCTCCTCCTCGTCCGAGACATCAGATTTACTCGGGCGATCCCGACTAAACGCCAGATCATCATCGAAAGCAAGGTCATCTTCATCAGCATGCAAGGAGGGAGAGGATCCTGCGTCCGGGTCCGCCATGACAATGTCACCATCGGCATCACTCTCAGCACTGACAGAGGCAGAACCGCGACGCTGGCGCTTGGAATCAGTCCCTGCGCCGGTATCACTGGTTCGCTTGCGTGCAGCGGCTTTCTTGCCTTTGCCTTTGCTGGAGTGTCCGGGGCCAGTGAGTAGGGCCTTTTTGACTTCGGAGGCTTGCTTTTTGCGGCGTTCTTCCTCAAGGCGGAAGAATTCTTTGTCGGCCTCTGCGTCGCTTTCTTCGTCACTTGCGTGGATGAATAAATCACTCTTGATCTTGGCTTGGCGGGAAAGTGAGTTCGATAAACGGGCCTCGCGCCGTGCTTCGAGGGTTTCGTCGTCCAGGGGCTCTCGTTCTGCGTTGGGTTTTGACTTCTTCTTGCGCTTCTTTTTTAATTCGTCCAGCGCACTGGCCTTGGAGCGTGGGTTGGCGGGGAATAGAGGGCCGTCTGGAATGTCTTCGCCTTCGGACTCGGATCCGAAGTTCACGTCAATTGTGCCTTGGAAGGCGTCGCCCCGACCGGATCCTCTGTCCTTCTTTTGGAGCTGGTTGCGAGGATCGTCGTCGCCATCGGCAGAGAATGGAGTCTCGAGTACTTTCTTTATCTCAGACAGTGTCTCCCGTAGATCCTCAGACTTCAAAGATGATGGAACAATCCAAGCAGCACCGAGGACGTCTTCGACACCAAGTCGCTCGAAGCCAACAATCTTCATCAGCAGACGCAATCTGGCATTTGAGAACATGGCATTTTGAACGAAATCGTCTTTGCTTTTCACAGCTATTGCGTGGTTAGTTTTGTTAACACAGGAGAGCCCGGGAACTTACTGATCATTGGGTTAGGGAGGGTCGTTATCTCAGGATCCTCCAGAAGGCGAGTCTCCTCTTGAATTTCCCATACTTCTCGTTCATCAGCTGCAGAGTCCAAGACGTCTTTGATCCATTTCACCAAATCTGCCCTTCCATCGAGCACGAGTGCTCCAACGACAATTTGGAGCTGTGATTCCCTAGTCGTTGCCTCGGTCGAGGTGATGACCACCTCTGGTGGCGGTCTGTTCGAAGCCGAGATTGTTTGCTTTTCGTGTCCGTATTCAAGATAGTAGACGGTTGAGTTGATCTTGCTGAACAACAGCTCAGTGACCAGTGCGGGACGCTGGTCAAGCTTTTTGATCAACCGTCGGATAATCTGTCGCACAAGCTCCTCCCACTCCTTGTACACTGATTTTCCTGAGTCCATAGGCTCCGGGCCCTTGATCATTCGGTGGAACAGAGCAATGATATCCATACGGAAGAGCAGAACAGTCATTTCCTGCTTGAACGCAATGCGATAGAAATAACGATGAGCACGCTTGAGTTGTTCAGAGCTGAGTTCCTTGTAATATCCAGTGAATGCAACGAATGTATCCACGCAAGCCTGGTTACAGAACTTGGCCGCAAATCGCTTAAAGTCAAAGTTACGTTCTTTGGTGACCTGGGCAGCGTCTTCCATCTCTTCTGCTTCGGAATCGTTTTCGTTGTCTGCACCTTCCTGTTGATCGGCGTTATCGGCATTCTTCTGTTTTCGCTTCGCCTTGCGTCGGGATCGGATCTGCATGTCGGCGTTCTCTTTCGAGTATCGTTCCAACATCCGCAGGAAGACATGTGCCAGTTCCGTGCAGGAGTCCAGGTATCCGAAGCTCTGGTCCTTGTATCCACGTACAATGGCAAGGATGCGGTCGTGGGTGGTCTCTTCGTAGAAAATCCGATTCTGGATGTTTTCGGCGATTTCCTGATCGTCCTCGAGCGGCGATACTGCCATTTCTTGGACGGTCAGCAGAATCTGCGTGAAGCAGCGCATTTGAGCGTTGAGGTCTTCCCATTCCTTGTTGTCCAGGCTGCTCTGCATCGACCTATTAAGAGTAATGAATGTCTCTTGGTTCAACACACCTGCAACCAGGCCGTAGCTGTCAGGCTCTATGTTCTTAGCCTTGCCCTTGCTCTTTGCAGTGCGGCGGGCTTGTCGAGCGCGGCGGACCCGTTCTGCTTCGAGGAACCAGCCAACAGTGTAAAAGAATTGCCGGGTATTGATATCTAAGACTCGGTCAGCCTCACGCTCGATCGCTTTGCGCACGTGAGTGAAGAGAGGATTGAAGCCTGAGTCCAAGAACTCTTCCACAAATGTTCTCAGGTGTTCGGTGGCTTCGCGATCCAAATGAGCAGGTGTATTGAAATTGCTGTTCTGCGTCGAGTCTTCGTGCTTGCGACGCGGCTTGGGCTTGTTCCATTTTTTGCTCTGGTCCATCTTTTCAAAGGTTTGTTGGTCGTCTCGCAATGAACGTTGGCCTGAAACAGTGGACATTTTGCCATTGTCTCGCTTAACCCATATCATTGTACCGAAGCGGCTGTGGCGGGTGGGTGCGGTTTTCTGGTATTCTCTTCGTGCCATTTTCTCCTTGTTTAAGATGGATGCTAGGTCGCTGGCATATTCGCTGCCTGCTTGCTCTTCGTCCTTGAAGAGTTTCTCTACGTCGACGCCTTTGACGAGGTGGAAGAGAATCTCCATCAGAACGATGTCTTGGAGGTTGAAATCGTCTCCGACGTTCGAGCACATGGTCAGAATGAGTGCCAGAGCGTCCTGCTGGTGGAAAGCGTTGATTGTCGACGATCTGGATGTCTCCTCCTCGTCACCTTCAGCAGCAAGTCTGGAGTTCGGTGAGATGATGGCAACATTCCGTAGGAAGTATAGCATCAATTTCAGAATTCCTTCGTCTCGAGATTCCCGTTCGGATCGAGGGACTGCCATGCTTGGAAGAGCGATTCGGACGGCTGCACGCAGGAGATTTGAGCCACCAGCTTTCAGGATACCTCGCTTGTATTGTACTTGTGCTTGGAGAAGGTAGGGGGTGTGGCGGTGGTGGTTGACTGTCATCTGGTTATGGATCTCCAACGGCCATGTCAATGGAACCAGCAGTTCCAGACATGCCAATGCAATCCTGGTCATATGTTTGCTCTTCTGTCCAGTGCCCCACCAGAGGGTGAGGATTGGAAGGAGATCACCACTAACGACATTGGCCTCTCCCAGACACCGCGCAACGTCCATTCGGTTGTTTTTTTCGTCGTACAGCTTCAGCCAGCGCTTGATATCTCGTAAACAGGCCAGTGAGTCGTCTCCCAGCACGTATCGATCGGCATCTTCGCCGTTAAAGCCTCCGAGCTAGAATGATTCAGTCAATGGTATGGTCAAGACGTTGGGGGAAAGGATCTTAGAACTCACGGCAGTGACCAGACCATAGACATAGTTGCGTACATCTGGGTCGACGACTTGCACGTCGTGACCAACGGCGACGACTTCCTCATCCATGGTGGTTTTCCTAATCGAGGTGAAATGGCCAGAACGCGTCGACGCGTCGGGCCTCGGTGATTCGGAGAAACTGGATGCCGCCAAAGTGCCGAAGATAACCGGGGCTGTTACGGTGCACTGTAGCGGCCACTGGGCAGAATAGAAGTATATTAGTGGGCAATTCGGTCTCTTTTGCAGGAGTAAATGAAGTAAATGAACTCTAGAGGTATTTAGCTGTGCAAATAGATAGCATTGTAATAGTCTCTGTAGTTCTCCCAAGGAAAATCACTAGGGAAATGAATATCGTCCAACATTCAACGGCGAAGGCGGTGGACACCAGATAATGGCCGCTAGCATGTGAAGTCATAGTACTTCCCTTGCGCTTCTACTTCCTTTTCCCTCTCCATCTCTGTTGAAATCAACCTCGACAGATTGCAGCCATGTTCGCTTCTTCTATTCGCCTTGCATCCCTCCCCAAGGGCCCTTCCATGGCCCGTAGCTTCAGCTACACCTCTCCAGCCCGTGTAGCCGAGGTCAAGTCCCTCGGCGTTATCGGTGCGGGCCAAATGGTGGGTGAACTTGGGATTACAGCTACAACAATCTAACAAATACAGGGTCTCGGAATTGCTCTCGTTGCTGCGCAAAGAGCACAGGTCCCCGTCACACTGGTTGACAGCTCACAGGCCTCATTGGACAAAGGCCTCAAGTTTGCCGGTACGCTTAGCTTCGGTTTCACCACTCGCAGCCTATCTAATGAGATTGAACTTCAGACAAGCTCCTTGAAAAGGATGTCGCCAAACAGCGTATTACTCGAGAAGCTGCTGATGCAGCCCGTGGTCTTCTTACCCCAACTATCAAGATTGATGACCTATCTTCTGTCGACTTTGTCATTGAAGCAGTGCCTGAGATCCCGGATCTCAAGACAAAGATCTTCTCCAGCTTAGCGCAGATCGCTCCCAAGCATGCTATCCTGGCTACCAACACCTCCTCCATCTCTATCACTAAGATCGCTGCTGCTACCAGCACAGACCCTACAGACCTCCAGGCTTCCTCCCGGGTCATCTCTACTCATTTCATGAACCCAGTTCCAATTCAGAAGGGTGTGGAGATTATTCGGGGTCTGCAGACCTCCCAGGAGACAATGGATACCGCCATTGCCTTCGTGGAGCGAATGGGCAAGGTCGCCTCGGTGTCCGCTGACTCCCCTGGATTCTTGGCCAACCGCATTCTCATGCCATACCTCAACGAGGCAGTCATCTGCCTGGAGACCGGGGTCGGTGGTCGCGAGGATATCGACAACATCATGAAGACAGGCACCAACGTCCCCATGGGCCCCCTTGTTCTCGCCGACTTCATCGGTCTGGATACCTGTCTCGCCATTATGAACGTTCTCCACCAAGAGACCGGCGACAGCAAATACAGACCCGCCGGTCTGCTGCGCCGCATGGTTGATGCTGGATGGTTAGGCCGGAAGAGTGGCAAGGGTTTCTACGATTATTAGATCTCAGAAACTCTTTGAAAATAGTTCATAGCGATACCCCGCTTGTATCCTGTATAGATCGCGAGTGAATCTCAAAAACACTTCTAACGAGCTCCCTCATTTATCGCCCGCGCCACTGCCTCATTCTGTACCCCCATTTGCTGCATCGCAGTCACAATAGTGCGAACATCCGCATTCCCATCTAATTCCTCATCCCCCGTCGGACATTTGCATCTATTCTGACGACCCCCACAGATGTAGCTGGTAGCGTTAGCTTCCAAGAACCTAGTAGGAATGGACTCAAACATACCAAAAATGATACCCACATCGACACAGAATGTGATTACACCCATCCACCTTCTCAACCATGTAATGACACTTCGTACACCGCTGCCACTTATTATCCTTCGCCATGTCCAGCACAGTCTTGAGACTCTCATCATCCGCACAAGGCCAAGGCCCATGCGCAAACTCCCGACACGCACAACACACTTTCGCCCGACACTGCGTGCAAAGCCGCGTACCTGGTCGAGGCCCTTTGGAATTCGGGTGAATCCATTGTCCACACTTTGCTCGGGGACAGTAGATCCGCTCATCTGCAGGAACGGCTTGCTCCTCTGTTCGTGAGATATAGCGTTTTCTGTTCCGAGTGCCCATTGTAGATACGACGTCCTCGAGGGGGAGTTCTTCTCGGCAGCATTTGACTGGGAATTGCTCTGGGTTGTCGAGGGATGTGAGGCCCATTTGGCGGAGGCAGGATGGGCAATATTGGTGTCCGCATGGTGCTATGATGGTCTTTCGCTCGGCGGCTTCTTCTAGGCAGCTTGTGCAGCATCTGGAAATGGTGGTTAGAGTGTCCTTGATCTTGGGGATGATATTCAATGACTGACAAAGATGGTTCTCCCTGAAACCTCTTCCGTGCCTTCTCTACGTAGCTCCGAAGGGTCTGCATTGGAGTGATCTTTTTGATGCAGGGTTGATGATGCAGGATTGGGATTTGGGTCAGTACTTCAGTGAGTTTGACTGAGGTGAAAGAGGAACAATTGTGCTTGCATCGCATTTGGGCAAATTGCATGTGTCTCATAGCTACATCAAGCTAGATTAGTACCCAGGGTTGAGCACAGGTTATTTCCCTTGTTCCTGAGAGTCTAACTCTTCTAAAATGCCGTTGCTGTGATGGCTACGTCGAGATTACCCTTATACTACTTTGCCATAGTATCTCGACTATACGGCATCTCTCGCTGACATGCTAGCCGGTCTGTGTTTATAGTAGCTCATTCGAGAGAATAGTATATCCCCATCCATGGCTCTACTAGTATCCACAGAATACCCAATTCTGCACTTGGACGAGTAATCAATCCATCATGTAGAACAAGCCCTCGAAAATAGTCTACTCATGGCTCTCAGAAGGACCAGATTCATAAAAAATATTGAATTTCATTGCTAGCTCCTTGGCTGCACAAACACAAACGCCACGACGCCACGAGAATGGGGTATCACGAACGCTACAAATGCTATCGAATGGTGCCGAAATTGGGCCCAAATCACATAGGCTTGAAAACTCCCCCTCCATGGTCATCGATTTCCTAGGCTTGGCCCATGAACCGGCGACCGGCCCATCCAGATCCGTGCTCAAGGTACTCCTCGCGGCTTATGGTCACACGGTTTAAGTGTTCGCGGTTTTGAGCGAGACGCGAAGCGCCGAGCCAAGGGGATTCAATAGGGCTGGAGAATGTTAGAATTTCCTAGGGTTCATGTTAGAGGGGAGAACTTACTGTTGAGCCCGGCGCAGGCGCAAAACGCAAGTGTCCGGGGCAATCGCGCGCAATTCAGTCTCACTGGAAAAGGGTTGTTAGTCAGAATTCCTACCAATTGATTTGAGCAACTTACAGTCGTTCCATAAATCCTCGGAGCAGGGAATTTCCGCCAACGACCAGTATATTCGCCCAGTAAACGGCTTGCACGCCAGGGGGGAAGACCGAAATGCTCTGCTTGATCATCTCAGGAATACCGGGTTCCCTCACGCCGATATCGCCTGGGGTGAAGAGCAGTTCAGGAGCATGGAAACGCTCGCTGCCCATGACCAAGACGTCCTCCGACAATGTCTCGGCGCTAAGGCCCGAAAGGGCACCCTTTTTCTTCTTCTTATGCATTTCAGGATCGTGGTAGCGAGTGAAGCCCTGCCTGTTGGCATTGGGGTCCGGAAGGACATAATCGAGCACAATTCCGTCCTCGGCCTTGCCTTGATGGCCCCAGTTCCTTTCCTTCAAGGTTCTTTCCATGTCCTTGTTGAAGTTGTTGCTCACATAGCAGACCGATTCCTTGATCTCATTCATAATGTAGGTCTCGTCCATCATGTTGATTTGTCGCTCTGACACGAGCTCCTTCAGAAGGCTGGTGATCTGCTTGCCTCCAAAGTCAAGGCGGCGGATTCCACGCTGCATAGGATTGCCTCTGTAGACTGGGGTCACGGTTGTGTGGGAGAACGAAGAATCAACCACCAGAACACAGTCCGCAGGCTTAATCTCCTGGGATTGCGCGAGTGGGTCACCGAAGAGAGATTGGATCTCATTCCACGCATTGAATGTCGGTCCTAATCACACGAATTGAGTCAGTACCAAATCATAAACACCATCCTGTCTCCATACCTATGGCCTTCATGTATCCCCCAAAGCCCCACTCTTCCATGACCATCTCATCGGTGTTGCGCTGCAGGACAGGCATAGCATTAGGAGCTTCAGTGAGGATGAGCGTGGTGTCTCGTGCGTCTTCAATCTTTACCTCGGCGTCGGCCTTGGCGTCAAAGAAAGAACGATCCCAAATTTCTCTCTGTGTCTCCCAGCTCGTGATGAATCCCTTCTCCATTGGACGACGGAACACAGCCTCGTTCCAATTGAGTACAGTGGAAAGCTCAGAGCCAACCACGATGTCGTTATCGCGAGTCTTCACAATTGCATTCGGAATGACGTTACAGTCCACAGACGCGTAACCGGCCTTCATGGTGTATGCGCCATTGTCAATGATGAAAGTTTTGTCAGGGATCTTCCACGAGACCTCCTCGAAAACAGTTCGAGCCGCCTTGGGCGCCATGATGAACGACGCTCCTTGAGAATTTGCGGAGGAAGAGTGAGAAGCTCCAGATCTCAGCGCCGATCCTAAGTATTATTTGGAGAAACGCGCTACGTAATTTTTGCACGTGCAATTTTGTCTAGAAGGCGCGGGTTCGAAACGCGTCTGGCGCGACCGGGAAATTTTCAAAAACCCCATACATGAAGGCAGAATGCCTTTTTTTCACTTGTTTTACACATTAAATGCACGATTTATACTCTATGGACCTATTTGGGGGCGATATCACTACTTCAATAGTCCCAAATGCAGGGAAAACCCTTATGGTGCATCTATATGGGAGTAAATCTACAGAGTTGCGGCATATAGACATTACAGAGCACATACTTGAACACCAGATTCTATTGGGAGCTCTGGATGGTTCACATTCTCTAAAGCTACAGGGCCTATATCCTTGTGTGATCTAGTTCACCCAGAGCTTTTTCACAGGTAGAAAGTGGTTTGGGCCGGATGCCCTACTGTTCTACAACATTGCATGCATTCAAAGGAAGCCAAGTGCTAGTAATTGGCACATTGTATCAATAAGAATCCTTAAGTACATCAATTATATTGGAAAAATATCAAAAGTATGTAAAATATTAAGCACCTTGGTATCTAAGAGCCCTGGCAGTATACAAGGGTAGCCCCGCAAGCCCTAATCAGCCCCGCGTTATCAGCCCAACCCAAATTTTTTTCTTCTACAACAATCCCCCCAAACCACCAGGGACCAGCCAACAGCCCTCAAAATGTCGAAACAACTATCAACAACATTCACCACAACCCTATCCCTAATTGAACAATTCCAAAAAGCCCTCACAACCCCACCAACCGAGTCCGCAGATGCAAAAGACGCCAACAACATCGAACCACTACCCCTCCTCGGGGCCTCGGCCACAGCACTCAGAGCCCACGTCACTAAACTTTCCCTACTATCCATAACTTCACCATTCACGCACTCCGCCATTGGCACTGTGCTCCGTGAACTGAATGAGTCTGTCCTCCCATCGCTTGTTACGGCCGCGCTCCTCCTCACGCCCGCGCAATACACGAAGGCATTCCAATCTGAGGTCCTGGGCTTGGTTAAGGGTGTTCTTACAGAACTACTGTCTCTAGTTCGGGAAGTGCAGCGCGTCGATGCTAAAAAGGAAGATGAGAAGAGTGCGAAGAGTGATCTGAGTAAAGCGGAGAAGGATGTTGTTACGCGCGCGACTGGACGAGTCTGGGATGCATGTGATGTTGTCACGGATGTTTCGTCAAAGGGTGTTGTTGGGTTCGTGATGCGTCGCGTTGAACAGTGGCGGGATTTAGTTCGGGATGCAGTTGAGGAGATTGAGGAGTGGGATCCTGAGGATGATGATGATGAGTTTATGGATGAGTTGCTTGGGGATGAGAAGGAGGAAGAGTCGGATGATGAGGAGGAGAATGCTGCGCTGCTGGAGCATAAGAAGGTTACGCTGCGGTTTTTGAAGCCTGTTGCGCAGGTTTATCCGGCTGTTATTAATAACCGGTTGAAGAATGTTGGGGAGGCACCTCTAGCTTCTGAGGGTGGGATTAAGAAGTTGGAGGCCTTGATGGTCAATCTACAGGCCATTCCGGATCATGTTGATGAGGCTGCGGGTGGGCTTTATGAGGCGGATTTCGAGAGGTCTGCTGGATATTTGCAGAAGACGAGGAAGTGTGCTGCTGCTGCTGTGGACTTGGTTATGGCGCCTTGGGGTGCTGCGGATGCGCCAGCTGATAAGTTCGCTACCTGGGCCAAGACGTGGCTCAAGGTCGTTGAGGAAGTGAGCAAGACGATTGGCGAGTGAACACGCCTGGCGCGGAGCTGTAAAGCTGATGATGTGATGGCAAGCCCGAGAAGAAATAGACAGCGATATTATGTATATGTACATAGAACAAGCATGGCGATATTATACACGTCTCTCAAAATCATGACCTACGTCCAGATCTCTGTCCTAGAGCTCTTCAGTGACTTCATCTTCCCTCTCCCATTCTGGGAGATCACTGGTTGGGATGCGCCCTCGCAAGAATTCCAAAATGGCATCCGTCCCCTTTGCGACGACCTGCCACCGAGGAACTCTGAATCGGTTGCCAGCGACCTCAAAGCGCCTGAGAGCCGATCCAGTACCCCAGTTCTGCGGGTCGCGGTCAGCAGCTAGTAAGCCGACTTTGGGGGGCAGAGAATCAATGTCATTATTGCTGAGTTCCAAGACCTGCAACCCTTGCACCGACTCAAAGTCCAGGCTAGCAACCTTGTTGTCGGAGGCAACAACTGTCTTGAGCTCTGGATAGGTGGATCGCAAATTAGGGAAAGGTCCATTCAATCGATTGTGCGAGACATCCAAAAAGGTCAAAGACGGGGCTACCAGGTTAGTCAGAAGAGGCTCCCAGGAGACCATGCAGGTTGCATTGAGAGTCAGCGACTGAAGTTTTGGGAGCTCAAGAGGGGCAGACAAGAACTCAGACCCGTTCATGGGATTGTGAGAGAGATCAAGCTCCACTAGATTATGCGCCAAAAATGCGAGTGCCGGGGCTGGGAAACGGCTCAATTGATTCTGCTGCAGGTAGAGAGACCTGATGTCCTGCGAACCAATCATCTCCAACTGCTCAACTGTGAGATCGGTCATATCGGCGAATGACTTGTCTAGCGTGCCGCCAGATTTGATCTGCCAGCTCCCGTCAAGCGCTGGGTTTTCAGGTGCCAGTGTGAACTGAGTGGCCACCGAGCCTTCATCGTCTGTATCCTGCGGGTCTGGCTCACATCGGCTTCGCAGGTCTCGTTTGATATCTTCTGTGTCCATATTCAAGAGCCGACGTTCACGGAGTGGGTTGTTGGCCACCTTTAAGGAGGTAAGGCTCTCCATCAGTCCCATCTTGTCATCCAAACGAGTGAGGTCATTTCCTGTGAAATCGGCCTTCTTGATGCTTTTGAGCTCCACAAATCCAGTTGGGAGTTCTGATATTTTGTTTTCTTCTGCTGACAGAGTCAAGAGTGACTGCCACGAAGCCACACATGGGAGATGCGTGATGCGGTTGACTCCAATGAGTAGAGTATGTAAATTGGGAAGGTCAAGAGTGTCATTAGACGAAAACACCACCACGGCATTATTCGCAATATTCAACAGCTGCAATGTCTCCCAACGACCCACAGAGGCGGGGATCAAAGTGCCTTCTAGCTTGTTCTTCTGCGCATTCAGCGTTTTCAGAGGTAATTTGCTGAATACGTCGAAGGGCATGAATGTCAATTTGTTTTCGCTGACATCTAGCGTCCTCAGAGATTTCATTCCAGCAAGTTCCTCTGGAAGTCCAGTAAGTTTGTTGCCGCGCAAGTCCAAGGACTCCAACTTGTCAAGTCGGCCTATGAAAGGCGCCAAAACACCTTCAAGTTGATTGTTGGCAAGTTTCAGATCAGTCAGAGAAGTCATCTCTGATATAATCTCAATATGCTCCATATCCAAGGAATTATTTGATAAATTGAGAGTGCGCAAATTCTGCATCCGTCTCAAGCCCATTGGTAATGACTTCAGGATGTTGCCATGGAGGTCCAAAGTCTCAAGACCTCCAAACTGCAAGCCACGATCATCGCTGTCTGCGTCGAAATCATCGGGATTGATGTCCGGGAAGACTTCATCTGAGATATGCTCTAACTCATTGTCCGCAGCAATGAATTTGACAAGGTCTACATTTTCGAACCAGTTTGCGTTGTCTGCATCATAGTCGTACATTGTCAGCACCTCCTTCGGTATCTCCGTCAAAGAGAATGCAGCAATATTCAGCTGTCCCGTGGCGCGGGCTGTCTGGACGCGCTTCCGCATCACCAAGGAGTTGGGCTCTTTGGGCAGCTGGTTGAACGGATCTTCATCTTCAACAGCTCCCCACGAATTGGCAATAGGTGCCTCAGACGCTGGCGTCTGGGGATCATCCTTCTTCTCTCCTGCCGCGACTGCCTTGCGTGCAGCCTTCGCCCTTGCTATGGTCTCACGCAAGCTGCTCGAGGATTTGGATGCTTTCCTGGCATCGCTTTCTGCTTGTTGCTCAGGGGTGAGTTCGTCTTGCATGCTAGAGGCAGAGGCATGTTTTGATGTGGAAGGAGAGCGTTCATTTGTGGTCTGCTCTGTTCCTGCTTTGCGTGTTTTCTTGATCTGGAGCGGTCTCTCTGGTGGACCCATGTTTGTCTTGATCGACTTGGTCAAGGGCTTCGCAGCAGTCCCGCTCGACGATGGGCGTGCGAGTGAAAGCCTGCCTGTATCCTTGGTGCCAATGGGTCTCTCTGGTAGAGTCTTCTTCGGGGGAGAGCTGGTTTCTGAGTGAGAGCCATCTGTCATGGCCAGGCTTTGTCGAGGTTTCGGTTGCTTTAATCGTGATGGGCTCACGCTGTCCTCGGAGGTACGAACTGGAGAAAGCGATGATGTAGCGGGAATGCGAGACGTCGCAGAGGGGAGACGTAACTTGGAGACGGGCTGGGTGTACATCTCATTGTTCGTTGCACTGGACGATGCTCGGGAAGGTGATCTCGACACACTCGATACATTGGACGGGGCACGCGATGGTGATCGGATTGGACTGGAGCCGTTGAAAAAGCTGGATTGTCTTCTCACCGAAGCAGGCGATGGTGGGATTTGTGCCAAGGTCTCAAGGGTCCGCTCTGACAGCGACGGGCGTACATCACGGCGACCCCGGGCTTCCTGTGCTGACGCGACCGATGCTGTATCATCGTCTCCGGCAACCGAGCTCAGTTCCTCCGAAATCTGGGTATCACCTTCGTCGCCTGGAGTTTCCACCTGTGTAGGTACCGAGACCGGCTCCTCCTGCTTTGGCGGTGCCAGAAAGCGCGAGGAGGGCTTCTTCACTAAGGTGTCGTATGATGGCCGTCGCAACCTCCGCTCATCTAAGCCCGGGTCGGCCCGCAATCTGTCTCGGGAGGGCGATGGCTTGATCGATTTGGAGGCCGTGCTGGTGGGTAAGGGCAAGCGTGAAGCTGGCCGTGGAATGCCACTTGCGGGCCGTGGGATCCCACTGACCCGTGCGGCTTTGGGCTGTCCGTCCATAGCGTGTTTCGCGTCGATTAGGGGGGAGTCGAAGTTCGGGCTCTCATGTCCGGGACAATGAATATGGAGAGCACGCGTTATAAATCTGCTTAGGAAGCTTCGTTGTCAAAGTAAAAAATGTATGTACATAGAAGAAAGACACGATTGTTTACATTTCGATCTATCCCGCGATCGACACCTCAGGCATCCGATCTGAGACACGTCTCAAACTATATACTGTAGACTACACATTTACTGTCTTAAGCAAATCTGTCTTAGGAGGACATCTCAAGAGTAGGTTAGTCTCAGTGGCTGCAAATAAGCGCCCATTTTGACTAACCATCGGCTTTGGGCCGCATTCTCATATGTATGACTATCACCAGAAATATAAGCACAAACAGCATATGTTAATGTCATAGGCTACCATAAATTCGCTCCCTCTTTAAAGGAGGAACTTCATGCTCAGTCCCAAATCCTGCCGTCGAGAGCACTGCTCTTTCTGAATCGTTTGTCTCAACTAGCTCGCCGAATTGTATCTTCAGATCCTTCAGTGTCGTGGGAACATTCTCCTCCCCGCCCAAACATCCACCCCGCGCAATTCGATCGACAGTTTCACTTCTTTGAGCAGTGGTGAAAAGTTGAAGAAATCCGCCATCCGTCGCAGGGACACCGTTCGAGCTTAAAGCGTAAAAGCCAAAAGCCATGGCGCACAGAGTGCCCAGAAGCATCAAGCCGTATGGGAGAAATAGGTTGAGTGGGCGCGAAAAGGTGTAAATATTGCGGATCTCATTGCGTGTTTGATTTACCTTCGTTGTCCATTTATTGGGTTGGTAGCTGATGATAGATAGAACCACGTCTTGCAGCATGGCATTGATACTGGCTTCGTTTATTGTGAAGAGGCCGCCATTGTTGACTGTTATATTGGAAAACGAGGGCGAAATCTGGACACCAGAGAAGTACTGAGCGATTGGCAAAATAGTCATGTAGTCATCGGTGCTATTGCGGAAAAAGTCGTCGGAGTTCCTGCTGAGGACATTCGGTGGGAATGTGGTTGTGAAATTGTAATAGTCGATGCTATCCGAGTCATTATCATCTGCGTGAAAATCCCATGAGGCGTTAAATGAGCCCGAGATAGTTTTCATCACAGGAGTTATGATGCTGTAGAGATTAGCATCTCTCAGGATTGGTGCCACGGCGGAATTCAAGGGCAATGAGAAATTGCGCTTCTCACGATCAACATCAATGAAAGATGGCGGAGCAGGCATTAGAGGTTCAATGGAACTTTCATCGATATTGACCTCGAGAGATCTGACATTATCCTTGTAGGCCGTGAGGACAGTGTAGTCTGCCCGTGATGGAATACAGGTCCAGTGATGATTGATCATGTCTATCCTCCATTCGGGATATGCCTCATCATCGCCTTCGACGGGCGAGCCTTTGCTAATATTGTGGGGCGAAGATGTCGATATTGTAATGTAACTGTGAGACGGCGGGTCCTTGATTTTAGGATCATCGTAGAAGTCATACTGAATTGAAGATTGCTCAGTAGATGAATTGAAGATGGGAATCATGCTGTTCTCATTCGGTAACGTGCTGGTATGGGTAATCACGGTACATTGAAGATATGGACCAGTGAAATGCAGACTGTAGGAGCAATTCGCTGAGCATGTTGATGAAGCACCCTCAACACGCTTTGCCAGAATAGTCCTGTGAATCATGCCATGAAGTGCAGGCTTGAGATTATAATCGAGAGCCAGGGAAAGCGGGTCGTTTTCATGGAAGCCCTTAGCGGGAGAGCCAATAAATCCAGTGAAACTGAACAAAGATTTCTCTCTGATCGAGTCGAGGGTCATGTCCCCGAACTATTCAGAGTCAGAAGAGAGAGCCGGTAGTTTAAAGCCAACTCACATCCGAGGCATTGAACGTGGGAACATCGGCGTTCAGAACGTGAACTTCCTGGAGACTGGAAACCACAGTAATTGCACCTGGCGGGAAACTCATCGCAATAGAAGCGAACCAATAAATGATAGCGACCATCACAAGAGGACGCGCCCTTCGAAATACTGTTCTATCGAATAATGATAAAGGGTTCGAGCGCAGGGTAAAGATATGTTCGATGGTTAAGATCGCGAGGGGCTGGCGTCGGAGTATATACCATAGATATTGCGTGAAAGAAAGGCCCAGGCAGAAATGAACTAGCAAGGTGAATGTGCTCGACAAAATGACCGAGATAGTCGTCTCGTATGTCTGAGGGACTCGTGATTCGGGACCGTCAGTAGGCGTCCCTGTAAGCACCTGGTAGAAGATGGCATGCAGAGCAGCGACTAGAAATGCTGTTTGAATTCAAACGTTAGTTTCAAACGCTGAACTGATAGTATGGTTAAATGAAGAAAATCGTGATTGCTGACCACTTATAAAAGATCCCACCATGAGGAGTGGTGTTTTAAGTCCGACGGACCATCGACTTTGAAGGGCCACATTCTCATATTCTGGAGGATCATGCATGATCAGAGGATTTTCGAAGGCATGAACCAGTACGTAGCCCGAGATATAAGGTGAAGTGCTCAATATAGATGATCATGAGGAATGGCAAGTGAAGGAAGAACCATAAGAGAATACTTCAATATTTTCTCTCATTCAGGGTCTAGGTCCAAGTGCGCGCCTTAAAGGCACTCAGCCGCAGCCAAGCCTTTAGTGGGGAGGGTCCGTCCCCCTGCCTGGAAGGTTACGAGTATTCAACGCCTAAGCAAACATGGCTTTAAGCATAACTTTAGAAGGTTGGGGGCTGTCTGACTGTCAAGCTAGACCTAATTTCGGTCATACTGTGCGAGTGCCCTCCATATCTCACAGTTCTCTCCAAGCAGACCGCGAAAAAACTTGAAGGGAATATATCACCCATATGAAAACATTCCAAATCCGGCTCAATTTAAATTCCAGGCGAATCGATACAAGCAAGAATATGGAAATCAGCAGCTGATCTTGCGCGGTATGAAGATTCGATAGAGCCTTGAAGGATGGCTCGAAGAATCAGAATCAGATCTCCGGAATTAATTGATAGCCGCCGAAAGTTTGCTGATCGTCGTTCGTATATGCAGGTCTAGTCACAGCCCATGCACCATACTGTTCGCCCGGGTGAAAGTAGCAATACCCAGCCAATGAAAACCGCTATTTCTTACACTACCAAAGCCGAATGAATCCAGCCCTGTATGTAGAATACATGTCGTCCGATTAGGACAACCCATGGAGCACTATTTATAAATCCCAGGAAGAGTCGATCAGTACGTGTCCATAGAGGCTATGTGCATACGCAAACTGCTCAATTGGTCAGGTGATACCCAGCTTGTCGCCCATTCATAACGCACTCGCCCCAGTTAACCCCTGTTGTATATAGTAACAACCCCGATATTATGCTTTGCTGTGCATCAAATGTCATTCTGTATAGTTTGTTCTTTGTGAAAATATAGCACATACGACCACAGGGTGTGAGAACAGGGCTTCCCGTCCGCTCAGCCGTACTTAAGCCACACGCCGGTGAGTTAGTAGTTGGGTGGGTGACCACCAGCGAATCCTCACTGTTGTATGTTTTTGTGTTTTTTTTCTGCGTTCATTGCTTGTTGCCCATGAGTGCAGAAACATGTCGGTCATACCAAACCTAGTCTCTTGAAGAAAATACCCTCGGGTTACGAGTATTGGATCCCACAGGACTGGATACATCAATGAACGTAGAATACGTACTTCATACCCTTGTCGAGTGTTTGCGCAGCTTACTATTTTTCCTCTCAACTTCAGTTTCTAATATCGCCTTTGCCATTCTAGTGTTCCTTGAATTTGCTTAACGTGATAGAATCAATAGTCAGGAGTACTTGATTTCCGCAATCGCCACTCAATCCACGGGCCAAAACCCAATTGCATCTCGTGCAAGAGAAAATGGGAGACAGCAATGACGAGGTAAAGAAAAAAGACAAGATATTAAGCACAAGAACCTTACCATCTCTTGAACATGACTCTAACGAGACGAACCTTTGCCTGCACATATTCAGGAGTCTGAGCTTGTGCATCCAACCATGCTGGGTTATAGCCATATTTGTCCAACTTATGCTGAAATCCCGGACGTGAAGCATTCAAGACATTTCGGGCAATCCAAATATGACCATTACCAACCCGTTTATCATTCCATTTGACTTCATATCCGATGTGAGGGTCCTGTTCTGACCCTTCCGGCGGAATGTCAATATCAAGCTTCACTTTAACTTCTTTGGGACGACCCTTGTGATCATCAAAGCTGACGGTGGTTTTCACTTCCACAACGGGGGTGCATATCATGCCCTGAAGTTCGGAAATCTTTTTGTTCATTTCTATTCCGGAAATAAGGTATTGGAGATAACTCTTTTGCTGATTGTTCAAGTCGATGCTTTGGCCACTGATTATCGCGTTGATTGATCGGAGTGCTTCCTGATTCGCTTTACTTAAGTCGTTCATCCTGAGTAGGGAAAACTAGACGTTAATATTGTAAAATTTAATGGACTGGATGGTTTCCATACTTGTGTTTGAGAAGTGATGTCGTTTCTTGTTTTAGATAGATTGCTCCAGAATGGTAAACACAATAAAGATGGGGGATTGATGGATTGATTGGAGCATATAGGGGCCGACCACTGCTCATATAATAGTATTTGGAGGCTGAGGTCCATCTGCCAAGGTTCCGTGACGTGTTAAGCCATGCAGAAGACCATATGTAACATGACTAGCTATTTGCAGTGCATTGCCCACTTTATGCATACAAGAAAACACATCACTGCAGCTACGAAAGCAACCAATAATATAGAGCTCGAGGATACGCTAATTCTACCCAGGCCTCCTACATATCGTACCCCGGTCGCGCTTGTAAAGCGGCGCTCACCCATTTCTCACCCAGGCAACGCAGGCCCAGTCGATGCCCTTCCAAGAGGGAAGAACGAGGTCATGAACGTTGTAGAGCTTCAATGCTCACGAGTAATCCCCTTTCCAACCCTCAGGTCGGGTTGATACTCAACCTGTAGACAATATATACTAAATATCTTGGATAGGCTGGAGATACCGTCTGGTACTGAATATGGCTCGTCTTTGAAAGTTGTATTAAGACCTTTTCCTTTCTTTTCCTTTCTTTCAAAAGAGCTGGCAATTGCAATGGGTTCTTCAAAGGGTATAAAAAGATTGAAGCTGTTAAATGCCAATCGGATACATCCGATGGGCTCATCTCCGCAATCGCTGGATTGCAGGACCCGTCGGCTCACCCGATCGCAACCCGGCAAATGTCTTTTTAACAATTTGATAACGCCTCTGGAGATATCCACAGCCTGTTCCATTAAGGAAGAAGGCACCGTTGTTAATGGCAGAGACGTTCTCACTTCTCGACCTGATTCCGGCTGTAACGGGAGTTTTGGTTCTGCACGAGGAGCGCCGAAGGCACCAGGCGTTTAATAAGAGTTGCAATAATCCCAATTCGTCTCAGGTTGTCCGCAAGGGTAATCAGGTAGAGGTGTTCCACAATGAGATATCCCCAGAAATGCGGTTTTCCTTCAACATGTTAGCAGTATTTAATATGAATTTCTTAGCATATTTTTATTGCAAGGGATAGAGGGCAGCATACCGTATTTCTGATGCAAGTTTGCAGTAGAGATATGTATACTCCCAGTCGATGTATGATGAATAAATCGCCAAAGCTAAGCGACCATGTTACTGAAAAGCCATTTTACACAGACATAATTGAAATTCCCCGGTGATTGGACTTACCAGAGAGGCACGGCCCAGAAAAGTTCCTGGAAAATCGGCCAAGGGATGAAAGCCCAAGTTGTATACCCGTGTTGTGACCCTGTGACCGAGAAGCTTTGTGTGGTCAGAATGAACGGTAGTCGGTCCTCATAAGAAGATTGGAGTACTCACAATGCACAATGCAAGAGAACCAATGATTTCACAATCTCCAGTGGATAATTCCATTGTACTGTTGGACAACAAGGCAGTCAGCTTCGATATGTCAATTTATGAATGCATCTTGATAAGATCGCAGTGATTCTCCCTATAAAAGTTGTATTGATTAGTTGGGCTTTCAAAGCATTTGGCAATGATCCTCAGCTCAAGGCTAAGATTATGCAAGGATTAGCATGTAAAAGGTTCGGCCATTTCCAATCCTGGTACACCTCCGAGCATCTTTTACGCCCCGAAAAAGAAGCAATTTCAAAATTTGATCGCCGTTTGCCAGCAAATGGAGTCCTACCATGGATATTCCCGAGCAGATGCGCCCCGAATTTTCAATGAGACCTACAGATCCCAGGTGAGCCCACTTTTGTTGGGAGTTTGTTCGCCAATAGCAATCACAAGCATTCTTTAGCATGATCCCTGAATCAATTATCTATGAAATAAACGTATGCAGATGGTCTATTTCCTCATTAGCAAGGCCCGACAATATATGCCGATTTCAATTCGATTGGACATCGGCCGAGCCCCGCCATTCTTTGTTTTTAAACAAAAGCACTAAAAGGTAGGTCGCCGCACACGGTGGTGAAGTTTTGTTTGCTATCTCGGTTTCATTGGTAAAACCAGCCTCGGATTATTTGAACTCCAACTGTTCGTTTCACGATTGTCATCACGTCCAGCATGTCAATGGTTTCTCAAGTTCCTTTTCAACTCTCCGGTCGGTATGCCGAGCACAATCGGTGGGAGGTTCTCAACGGCCCAGGCGACTCGCGTGCAACTGGAAGCCAAATTATCGAAGATGAAGGTCTTGTTGGCCAGTGTGCAGAAAAGGTTGTCCTGATCACCGGTGTTTCATCTGGGATCGGTGTTGAGACTGTGCGTGTCCTGGCATCTACTGGAGCGACCATCTTTGGCACGGCCCGGAACATCGAAAAGGCAAAGGAGGCTTTGGGCTCGTTGCTCGATACCGGGCGTGTGAAGCTTCTTTTCATGGATCAGACAGACCTCTCCAGTGTTCGGGCCTGCGCCGAGGGATTCCTCAACCAAAGCTCCAAGCTCAACGTTATAATCAACAATGCCGCTGTGAGTTCATTAATGCCGATACAAAAGTGCGACCTCGCTAATCGGACAAAGGTGATGAATACCCCCGAAAGTCGGACTAAAGATGGCTTTGAGCTTCAGTTTGGAACCAATCACTTGTCGCACTTCCTCCTCTTCTATTTACTGAAAGACACCCTTTTGGAAACCGCACGTGTCTCGCCTGACTTCGCCTCTCGTGTTGTCAGCGTTGCCTCGGCAGCCCATCGCTACAGCCCTATTCCTCTGGACAACTTCAACTGGGAAGGTAACTACAACGGCTGGCTTGCTTATGGATCTAGCAAGACCGCCAATATCTACATGACCACCCAAATCGAGCGCTTATATGGCGCCCAAGGCCTTCATGGCTTCAGCGTCCACCCCGGGGCTTTTATGAGCTCCAACCTCCAGAAATATTCTCAGGAGGAAATGAAATCTATTTTGGAAGACAAGCGTGGAATGGCATACTTGTCGAGTCTCGGACAGGCCTGCGCAACCAGCATATATGGTGCTGTATCGAGCGAGCTGGAAGGCAGGGGTGGCTTGTATTTGGAAGGCGCATCGGTGGCAATTCATCCGACACCACCGGGGGGAGATGTGCTTGAATATGGATATGACAGTTGGGCATTTGACCAGGCAAGAGAACAAGAATTGTGGAAGCTTAGTAAATCCTTGGTAGGAGTTGAGTGAGATCGAATTCCCAGATGTTCTTCAGTCGAGTATTCAATTTAAAAGTGTTGTAGTTCAAAGGAAGATTGATCTTATGTATTCAGAGGGAAACATGGGGCTAGATACACAACGAGAAGATCAAGTCGATCAGAAATCAACTTAGGTCTTCGTATACATATGAAACACATATAGATTGTTCGACCCCATGTGACCGTCCTCTCACGTTAGGACGTGCCACCTGCGTCGCGCTTTGCGTGCTTGGGGTTGCTTGGCGCGTATTGGTGGGTGCTTGCTTGCTCGCTGTTACGCCCTCCTACGGTCACATGCTCATATTCGTGATACCCTTGCCGGGTCCTGTGTGATGCTTGCTACACCATTCGTCCTACGTGCCGCTGAGGGTGGTGTATATGACCTTAGGCATCCGTCTGTCCGCCGCTAGTGTTCCTGTTTTAATCCAGAGGTATTGTTCACTTATTATTTCAGAGTGATACATGTGCCTATATATACAGCAGTGAACCAAGTTGATATCTGTTGAATTTCAGGAAGAAGAGCAGCATATATTACTTTACTGAGCAAGTGGGGTGACAAATTATATCATTAGAAGAAACTATTGACAGAAAGTGCACTTTGCTATTGACGGGGAGTTCGCACTATTTATGCTTTCCATGAAAGCCTTCTTCGGCTGATTTAGAAGACCTTTCTTCATGAAAAGCGCTGGAACAGCCTCGAAGGCAGCCCTTACATATTTCGTAGTGAAATAAATAGAGATCGTAATATAATTGCTTTGAAGGCGACCTGTATAATAGTGTTCAAGAATGATCCAATTTCAGTTAGGCATTGGGTTTGAATGGCGACCTTATCATTTATATACACCAATATGATGGGTCCAGGCGAAGCACGATCGGACGTCACTATTTTGTTCGCAATGCAATGCGGGCTTACGGAGTACTTTAGTACGAAGTACATGGCCACGAATCCCGCATGTAGGTCATACCCTACTCCGTACACTACGAGTAAAACGGGACCAAAAAAGCCCACGCGCAAGGTTTGGGCCCGAAGTTCTAAAGTTGGGCTTTGCAGAAGTCTAATCGTAGCCTTAACCCGCAGGTTGGGCGTAATTGTAACTATAGTTAAAATATTAATCAATACTTAAGTAGTTCTTTGGGAAAAAAAATATATCATATAAACAATGTACTTAAGTATATATGATGTATATCATATGAACAATGTACATATGACATATACTATATAAACAATGTACATATGATATAGGTAAGTAGAACATACTTAAGTAGAGCAGGCATTATATGTCCCTCGGCTTTGGTGCATAAGTGATAGAGGTATTAGTTGATTTTCGCCCCTCCTCCTATCATAGCCTGCATTTTCAGCCTGCCACACTGCGGTACTTATTCTAAGACGCAATACTAAACAGTGGTGAACAGCAAGGCTTTAACAGAAGTTTGAATCAAACGCTTATATTTAAACATCCCAATGCAAGCCTTGACCTTGTCGAACAAGCTCCAAATCACAAAATGACTACAGACGATTCAGCGCCCTCCTACCCATCGCCTCAGAGGAGCAGCGGTGCTTTAGATGGGTTTAAGTATGTTGAATCCACGCCGGCACTCGGAAGAGAGTACACAGATCTACAGCTGTCTTCCATTGTTGACAATGATGAGGCGATACGCGACCTGGCAATCACTGGTAAGACTTTGTCTTTATCAAACAGCCAAACGAAGCACTAATAGCACTCCAAGCATCCGAACGCGGGGTCATTCTTTTCAACGACCAGGATATTACGCCCACTCAACTGAAAGGTCTCGTCGTCAAACTCGGAAAGTTAACTGGAAACCCACCGGAAGCTGGTCTATACAGACAGCCATTCACCCTCCAGAACAACAGCCATTTGGATATTCCTGGAGTTTAAGACCCTGATATCTTGACCTTATCGTCTGTGGTCAGTCGATTTCAAGCAGTCTTGATGGTATTGGGGGACAAATGCTGACAGTCTTAAATCTAGACCCAGAAGAAGACCCTAGGAGATGCCCTACCGACCGCAACCCGTAAATTTGCCAGCGTTGCATGGCACAGTGAGTAAGTGAGAGACTCAAATACGGTCAACGCACTTACGATAGATATCTCTAACAACTTCATATGACTGTAGCGAGTCTCAAGAGAAGTATCCCCCTGCCTAAACTGGTTTCAAGATAGCGAAAAGCCCTCCCACAGGCGGCGATACCCTTTTCGTTTCTTCTTATGGCCTTTACAAACGCCTTTCAGAACCTTGGCAGAGGTTTGCTGACAGCCTTACTGCGACCCATTTTGCAAAGGACTACCTCGACTTTGCGGAGAAAGGAATTATCCTTGATGAAGAGCTCCAAAGAGGTCACCCGGAGAATGTGGGGATCGATTTCAAGGCCTCACAGTACGTTCAACCCCTGGTTAATGTCATGACATCCAAGGTGATGATACCGCTTTAGCCCAGTCGTTCGCACAAACCCTGTTACTGGCTGGAAGGGCCTATACGGAGTGGGCTACGGCTTAAACAGTGGGAGCTTCGACAATATGATCGAGCACGAAAGCAACCTGTTGAAAGAGTACTGTGTGTTTACTCCACCTCACCGACTCCGTTAGTCATACTAAGACATGCATAGTCCTCCGCATGATTACCGACAGCTCTGACCTTCAGGTGCGTAAGCGCTGGAATGACAATGGTATTGCAATTTGGGATAAGTATGTGCATATCTCTCCCTGCCGACTACCTTGAAGTTTGCTTATAAGTGACTAGCCGTGCTGTGCACCATAACCCAACTTTGTGAGTCTGCCCTGTCCCTCCTGTTAACAAGGATTTCTTTTTTTTTTTTTTTTTTTTTTTGCTTACATGGGTGGTAGTGATGTGATCGACGGAGAACGCTTAACATTCCGTATTACGGCAGTCGGTGAGAAACCCTATTTCGACCCCAACTCTACATCCAGGGCGGAGTACCTCCAAAAGAATAGTTAGGGTATGATGCTGTACCAGGACTATCTCAGAGTGTGCGGTTTAGTTTGTGAGAGAATGTTTTCGGGTCATCTATCTTTTCGGGTCATACCTTTGAATGAATATGCAAAACTATCTTCAGTATATCTACTTTATATCTTTAAAAAATCTACTACAGCCTAAGCCACGGATGTCTGACCTGTATATACTGGGGCCAACGTCCGACACTATCCTATGGGACCCTTTGCAGCAGGCCTGGCTGCTAGGCAGTTAGGGTTTCTTAACAATGGGCAGAATTCGCCCCACCTCCCTACTTAAGTAACCCTTGGGCATCGGAATGCTGGTATTTGAGAGACTTCAGTTCCGCACATGAGGCAGTCAGTATTTCCATTCCGTGATTGCCACTGCTGGCGTGGAGGTCAATCGCTGTGACGGAGGAAGAGCTGAGTTTTGGACTCTCGGTTTCGGAAGGGTTGGAATCGAAAGTCGGGGTTTATCCACCACTGATTTAGCTGTAAATGTACGGACAGAGGGAAAATGGAAGAAAGGTAGAAGAAGCCTGAAAGATTGTGTCCGGCTCTCTATGCCGCAGTAGTCAAGATCTATTTAGTGATGCAATGAAACCAGTTCCAGATAGCGAAACGCCGGTTGGTTGGAGGGTTTTTCGCCGTTGACTATCCTTTGCATCGTTTGACCCAGATGAGGTGAACTGGTTGCATAAACTAAGTGAAGCTCTCGTAGTTGGCTGAGAAGGGGTAATATGATTGCAATCGAGGCATCATTTTTCGGACACGTCTTGTGCATGCCATTTCGTTAGATCTAGCTCACTGCCCGAGAAACAAAAGTCTCCCTCTTACCCCGTGATACTGTAACCCCCAGACAGTAAGTGCTCTCCATATGGACATCATCAATGGATACTCTGGCGACGAATCAAAAAACAGCGCATCGTTAAAACGGCATCTTCGAGCCGAGTATTGCATTACTTGCCTAAACGCATGTTAATGGATGTGCATAATCGTAATACGCCACCTATTAGGATAACATAACAAAAAGAGAGGGGGGGGGGGGGGGGCTATCAGGGGAAAGAAAAGGCAGGGGATGTGCACAGGTAAAGGAGTGACCGTGGGGGGGGCAACCCATTTTGCTGCACGGCCTTGTCCCGCTTTTCTCCAG